TGTCTCCCTCTCTCTCTGCCCCTCCCCTGCTCACTCTGTCTCTCGCTCGCTCTCTCTCTCTCTCTCTCTCTCAAAAAAAAATAAACATTTAAAAAAATAAAATATAATAAAGAAAATAATACACTTTTAATAAAGAGATGAAGCAAATACGGCAAAAGTGTTAAAACTTCTAAGTCTAGGTGATGAGTATATGGAAATTTCATTATAGTCTTCTCTCCAATTTTGTGTTTCTTTGAAGTCTTCCAAAATAAAGAATTAGGAAAAAACAGCAATTACCCTTGATTTTCAGAATCACGAGCCACCATTACAAAGGTTGCATCCAAAACAGGACAAAATTCATTGCCGTGTAACTAAAGAACAGTGGAAAGAAAATACAGACATAAGAAATACATTTAACAAGAAGACCTATGACAATTCTAACAGATGTCACGCATGCTTTGGAAAGGGCTGCAATTAGAAAAAGAAAAGTGCTGGGGCACCTGGGTGGCTCAGCAGGTTAAGCGTCCGACTTCGGCTCGGGTCATGATCTCACGGTTTGTGGGTTCGAGCCCCGCATCGGGCTCTGTGCTGACAGCTCAGAGCCCGGAGCCTGTGTCAGATTCTGTGTCTCCCTCTCTCTTTGCCCCTCCCCAACTCATGTTCTGTCTCCCTCTGTCTCAAAAATAAATAAACATTAAAAAATTTTAAAAAAAGAAAAGAAAAGAAAAAGAAAAGTGCATCATTAACCACCATCTGCTGAGTTGCCAGACACAGAACTAAGCTCTGGGTGGGAATGGAGCAAGACCAAGAAGGCTGTGGTCTTGGAAAAGGAGAAAGACACCCCAAAATTCAAACAGTACACCATGCGAGAAGGGCTGGGATGGACATGACCTACGGGCTTTGGAAGTGTGTGTGACTGAGACTCAAGGGCAAGGGTCACAGAGGGACCCTCTGCATCACTGTCACTTAACTGTCCTGCATTATGCAAAGTTCTGGCTTTCTTGAGGCCTACCTGTCCTCACAATGGCACACAAAGCCAGGTGAAGTGCCCACCGCTCTAATGGACATTAGAATATTCAGGTAACTTCAGTATGCCAGCTACCAGCACACGTTTGTGCCCCCTTAGCTGAGCGTAGGGGGCTCCCAAGAAGGGGTAAGGATCACTGGTCATTCCACGTAATGAGTGAAATAGTTACAATGTACAAGCCTTTGAGGCTTTGAGGTATTTCTTCATCCTCTAGGAATCAGTACTTCCAGGGAAGTTGTATCATAAAGTCCTATCATAAGCTGAGGGCATACTAGGCTCACTCTTCAACAAACCTCCTCACTAGTCCTCCTCGCTGCTGTCTGTTCAGGCCCACATCACCTTCCCCCTCAACCTTGTTCCCACATCTGCTCTAAGCTTGCTGGCAATATATATAAAGCTCTCCACGACAGAGTCCAGATTCCTCTCTGCTCACCAAACACGCCCTTCACACCTGCAACCTTTCCCTAAGCACACCTGACAACTTGGAGGTCTGGAATGTACCGTGCTGTTGAACTCCTCCCATCCATGCCTGAGCCTGGGCCTTCCTCACAGCCACCTTCCTCAAGACACTTCTCCCCACCCCTGCCCCCTCCCCAGGCAGAGGTCATCATCCTTTCCTTGGTTTGCCACCAGAGTGGAAACAAAGTCCTCCCTGAAAGTGGTACTCAATGTAACAGAGATGGATACTACTCCCACGGGGAACACTTGGAAATGTGCAGAACTGGTTTTGGTTGTCACACGGCTTGAGGGACATCACTAGCCAGGCAGGGGTAACCAAGTTGTTAAACACCTCACAGTGCGGGGGACTGTCCTGCATAACTAAGAATTTTTCCTACATCCAATGCCAGTAGTGCCTCTGTTGAGAAAAGCTGCATGATACTTAATATACTACAGATCCTCCTCGACTTACAGCGAGGTCACATCCCCACAAATCCATCATAAATTGAAAATATCTTAAGTCAAGAATGCATTTAATACACATAAACTACAGAACATCACAGCTTACCTAGCCTACCTTAAACACGCTCAGAACACTTATATTAGCCTGCAATTGGGCAAAAGCATCTAACATAAAGCCTCGTTAATAACAATGTGTTGAATATGTCAGGGAACTTATTTAATACCGTTCAGAGAGTATAAAACAGAAAAGCCATATGGGGACAGGCAGGTTGCAAGTGCGTCAGTCCTCTACCCTCCTGATGGCGTGGCTGACCAGGAACTGCAACTCACTGCCACTGCCCAGCACCACATATCACCAGTCCAGAAAAAGATCAAAATTCAAACTTTAAAGTACACTTTCTACTGAACACTCTTTCACACCATCATAAAGCCAAAAAATAGGAAGTCAAACCACCCTAAGTCAGGGACCATCTGTATATCATAATCACCGATTGCAGCACGCTTTCCTTGAGGACAAAGACCATTTTTACTCACATTTGTATGCCTAGCACTTAGCACAAAGACTGGCAGATAGAAGATAATCAATGATTGATGATGTATATGAGTTGAGGCAGAAAATTATCAAGCACTACTAGAATGTAAACTGTAAGAGAATGAAACGTTGGGGCGCCTGGGTGGCTTGGTCGCTTAAGCGTCTGACTTCAGCTCAGGTCATGATCTCACAGTCCGTGAGTTCAAGCCCCGCGTCAGGCTCTGTGCTGACAGCTCAGAGCCTGGAGCCTGTTTCAGATTCTGTGTCTCCCTCTCTCTCTGCCCCTCCCCTGTTCATGCTCTGTCTCTCTCTGTCTCAAAAATAAATAAACGTTAAAAAAAAAATTAAAAAAAAAAAAGAATGAAACGTTGTTTAGCTCACTGCTATACACTGAGCACAGAACACGCATTCGATAAACTGCTAAGTGAATGTTAAATGAATGGACACGAGGAAGTGGGCTAGGTGACTCACACCCAGATGCTGCTTATGTCAAGGAGCCTACAGTGTAGTCGAAGAGAAAAGATGTGTTCATATGCTGCTCTGCGGAGGAGAAGAGCAGGTACCAGGAGAAAGAATCAGAAGTCATGGGGAAGGAACAGGCGCTATGAGCTGGAAGGATCAGGGAAGGATTGAGCATAAGGTGGCCTGGAAGCAGAGGTAGAATACGAATGCGTGGAGCCAGAACATGAGGATTTCAGGCAAGAAAAAAGAATAAGCAATGATACTCATCCTACTCACTCACTGTTTACATTATGGTTTATTATAATGAACACCTACTAGTGCCAAGCATCAAGAATGCAAAATTGAGGGGCCCCTGGGTGGCTCAGTCGGTTAAGCGTCCAACTTCAGGGCAGGTCATGATCTCTCAGTTTGTGCTTTTGAGCCCCACATCTGACAGCTCAGAGCCTGGAGCCTGCTTCAGATTCTGGCCTCCCTCTCTTTCTGTCCCTCCCCCTCGCTCACTCTCTCTCTCTCTCTCTCTCTCTCTCTGTCTCTCAAAAATAAACAAACATTAAAAAAAGAATGCAAAAATGAGTAACTCCCTATTCTTTGAATGCTCAAAATGTCCAGCAGCAAGCTCTAAGAAGGTATAGGAATGATAAGTCAGAGGGACTACAGTTGTAAAGGCAGGTGGGAGCTAGTTTGTGGAGCACCTTAGATCCTAACTAGACAAAAGAGTTCAGACTTTAATCCACAGATAATGGTCACTGAAGGGTTTGGAGAAGGAAAGCAATGTGACTTAAGATTGCCTTTATAAGATCTAACTCATAAAAATCTGTACAATTAATAGAGAGAGCAAAGACTAGAGGCAGGTAGACTATTAAAAGACAGTTAAGGTACTCACAAAGGAGGCAGTGAGGCCTTGAATGAAACACAGAGGCCGAGAGGAAAGGGAAGAAAGAACTCTCTGGTGGGTTGCTATGGGTGATGAATTTGCAAGACTTGGCAAAAGGCTGTATAGGAAAGGACGAATTTAAAGATATGACAAAGGTTTGGACCCAGGGCAGCAAAGGGGGAAAGGGAGGAGGATCAGGATTGGGAAGGAAGCTGAGGTACTCAGTTTGTCACACACCTGATTTAAGGTAGCAAGAGCACGTGTAGGAGGAGAGATAAAACAGGCGTGCAGAAAGATGAGTCTGAAGGTCAAGCCCAGAAAATATTTGGGACCACCTCCATAGTAATGATAATAAATGAACAATACTGTCAACATTTGATTAGTGGTTACTGTGTGACAGGCAATGTACCAACTAATTCCTATGGTTAGGTTGTTTTTTCATTTCATGCTTACCACACAAAAAAACGTGGTACTATTACTGTTTCCACGTTACACTTGAGAAAATGCAAACTCAGAGAAGGTAAGTAATTTACCCACATTCCCATGGCTGATAAGCAGCAGAGTTGGGATTTGAACCTACATGTACCTAAACCAGAGGCAAAGCACCTACCGCCAAGCTTCCTACCTGGAATAGAAAGGATCACTCAAGTCTTAAGTTACTAGTCAAAATGGTCAATGAGAAATACAAACTTAAAACAGAAGTTTGTACTTGTCTGACAGTGATTTTCATTGGCCCTCTCCCCACAATAACTCCTGTAACTCTTTTCAACCTATTTGGCCCAGATTCAAATTACCTTGATTCCTATGGCAGGAATCTGAGCAGTCTAGGAATCAACCATGAAGATTAAAAAATGCAGACAGGGGCCGCCTGGGCAACCCAGTCGGTTAAATGTCCAACTCTTGACTTCGGCTCAGGTCATGATCCCAGGGTGGTTGCATCAAGCCCCGAGTTGTGCTCCTTACTGGGCATGGAGCCTGCTTGAGATATTCATTCTCATTCTCTCTCTCCCTCCCTCCATCTCCCTCCGCCTCCTCTCCCTCCTCCTCTCCCTCCTCCTCTTCCTCCTCCTCCTCTCTGCCCCTCTCCGCCCCTCAAAACAAATAAACTTAAAAAAAAAAAACAGTGTGGACTAATCATAGCAGCATCCCCATCATGCTTACTGTGTTTTGTTCTAACAACAGTATTACTGTCAGCTATGACAACATGGAACTTAAAGAATCCAACTGCTTACAGAGAGCCCCAAATAAAAAACTACTTAACTATTTTGACAAAAACTTTAGTTACTGCAGAACAAGCTTTAGACTTTTTCCAAAAGGTGAAGTACTTCATAATTCCAGAAGAGAAAAAGTCTATCTGAATAATGAGCCTACTAAATACTCTGGCATAACTGAAGAAGTCATTTTTTTTTTCCTTATTTTTTTTATTTGAGCATAGTTGGCAATGTCACATTAGTTTCAGGTGTACAACACAGTGATTCAACAAGTTTATACGTTATGCTGTGCTCACGAGAATGAGTCATTCTTTTTTTTTTTTTTTTT